TGTGTGAACTGAACTTTGAACTAGTTCACGTAGAAAGAGAACTTTCCCAACACTGCCCACAGGTATCATGTTTCTGGAAAAGTGTCCCCACCAGTTAACAAAAACAAGGCCATATACACCAACCTAAACTGAATTCACATCCTAGGCTTAAATCTGACCCCAAACGCAAGAGCCCGTAAATCCTCACAAGATATCAAATACAAATTCATACTCATTCATAGACAAACACATTTAAAATCCAGACAACGCCAACACCTAAAGGCCAACACCTAAAGATAGAGATGGTATCTGTATCAGATCTAATTAATCTAAATGTCTTTAAGGCAATTGATTAGTTGAAGTTTCGTAGTTTTATAATTGATGATGCGCCATAGAAACAATTAGAAACCTGGTTGTGAAGTTATAGTATGTTTCAAACCTCAGCATTTATTTTCTCTCAAGGAGCTCATCTAAGAGAGAGAGAAAAAAAGTTTCCAAAGTGGCTCGAAAAAATAAGGATGGTGATGTTTTGCTCACCACCATCAGATGGCAGTAAAGTGCTTCTGCTGAGATCTGGCTTTACAGACATGAACCATAATGAGATGCTAAACTGGCTTTTGGGATCAGCTGAAGAATAATTGAGCAATAACTGGACATTTCCATGCGCTCAAGTTGAAATTTATTAACGTTTTTGAAAAAGGATCCCACAGTTGAATAATTGTTTGCTTTTCTTTTGATTCTAGAACACAACCATTTTAATTGTAAGTTGTTTTATGTCATGTAGGGCCATGTAGGTTTGGATGTCTTTTTTTTTTTTTTTAAGGCAAGCACTTTACACACCTGTAAACTTTTAACCAGAGCAGCCTAACGTGTTAAACTACTTATCAACATCAGACTGCATTCTCCAGATTACGGAAAGTTGTGAGAAACCTTAAATTCTATACCATCAATTTTTTGGGTTAGCTGTATTTTTTGTGTTGAAGGCACCAAAATATATTGAGTACTGGATTTTTAACCAGGAAGGAGTGACAGGAACTGACCTTTTGCAGCCTTGTAACTTAAGGTTTAGTTCACACTGAATCTCTGACCTTATTTTTAATGTACCGGTATTTCTTTTTTTTTTTTTTTTTTTACAGTGTCCTGTCTGGCAATGTGGCAATAAGAGAATAATTGTCTTGATGCCAAAAAGAGCCCAACAGATTTTACTTTCACAAGTGTAGCAGTATGGCAATTGCCATATTGCTCCACTTGTTTCATGCATATAAATTGCTTTATTATAATTATGCAGGGAGTTTTACAGTTTATATGGACACTGCAATGTAAATGGAGCAGAAAAACAGAAGAAGAAAAAGGAAAGAAAAAAAAAGAGAAAAGATGAAAGAAAGAGGAGATAAAAAGGAGATTTTTAATGTATTTCTATACGTATTGAAAGAAAGTGAGAAAGTGGATATGTTTGTAGACTTTTAGTAAGATTTAACCTTCTCAATAGTATCAGCTCCTTTGGTACCACATTATCTAGATCTGTTTCTGCTGCCACAAAACTCACTCATATATTCAAATCAAGTGTTCAACGATGGCTGTGAATTTGGATAGTTGATAACGTGCCATGCTATTGGCTGATATGTAAAATATTAGGGTTGTTTGGACTGGAGGTATTTTCATAAATTAATCTGAGACATTCACAGTATTTATTATCTCAAAGCCGGTAAAGTTTGTTACAAACTAAATTTTATTGTTTTAATAGATGCATAATAAAAGAGGCTTCAGTAATAAAAAGAGCCAGAAATTCCTAAGCACTTGGACGAAGTGGCTCCCCTCCCCTACTTGGCAACTGCTGTTTAATAGTTTATCAGTCTGAATGAATGTAGCCGACTTGGACTGAATGTGATGGAGGAGATCCAGATGGACCTGTCCTCCGATTGTTTGGGTTGGTAATGAAGCGGAGCGTTAGTCGAGGGACTGAGGCTTTCTGTGTAACGACTTAAACCTTATCAGCAGCAGCTTCTTATCAGATGGGATCCAATGAGACTGGCTCTTTCATCTAGCTTTGATTGACAGTTCGACAGGCTGCTTCCTCCACATTTCCAGACCATCCACACCCCCGTCCTCTTCTTCCAATTGCCCAATCCAACCGTCACGACAGCTGTTATCCAGATGAAACGGAACAGCTGAGTTTCATAACATTTAATAAACATAGAAGACGTGTTGCTTGCTTAGTGTTTGTGCCTCTCCACTTTTCAATTTAACCAATGACTAAAAAGTTAAACTAAGACTCTTCCAATTGGCGAAAACTGGGAAAACATTTGAAATAAAACATAGGAAAAACAAAACTGATGTTCACCAGCGATCCAGGATAAATAATTTAGTCATTTTTTAGGAAGGAATAACAGATTTAAACATGTCTGGTGTTTTGTTAAATACAAACTTTACCAAATGTTAAATTATCTTTGTTTTTTTGTTTGACAAGACAATAAAGTTTGACTTCACTTAATTTTTGAATATGGCAAGAATAAATTGAGATACAGTTAACTATGGTGATGAAACAGAACTTTACTTTAGGTTTCAGATTAACATTTTGAAGAATAGAAGGAATTGTATCAATTCTCTGTATTATTAACCAATAAGATATGAGATTTTTTTTTTTTTTTAAATAAAAACAACATAAATATATATAAACAGGATAAAGCACCCGGCTGCAATCTTCATAGGTTTCAATTAAGCTTTCTGTGCCAGTAACAATTTATTATTTTTTTAGTTGCACTTAGAACTGCAGGATAAAATCACTTATGGTAAATTTATACGTTTTGGCAGTTTTTTTTTTTTTTTTCCAATATTTGTTAGTGATTTTGTTGTTTAAACTCTGCCAAGCCACTGAGCTGTAGAGTTTATCTGGAACATTGAATACTGTGAATTTACACAAAAACCAGTTCCCCCCTTAAATGTTTTTGAGCTAAGCATCCTGTGAGCGTATCTTAAAGGGAAACACCGTTTTTTTTTTTTTTTTCCAATATTTGTTAGTGATTTTTTTGTTTAAACTCTGCCAAGCCACTGAGCTGTAGAGTTTATCTGGAACATTGAATACTGTGAATTTACACAAAA